CAGCCACAGTCTGATTGAATTGCAAGGCTAGGTGTTCCCACCCACCACAGCACACCAGGAGGTTGCAGACCAGGCAGCCTATGCGGGCCCGCTCCTCCATGTCAATCTACCTTCAGGAGCTGGGACCTGGGCTGTGCTTGCCTACTGGGTCTCAGCCAGCAGCGTCAGGTGGGCTAGGCACTGCTCACCAATCCCGCTTGAGAGGGGTATTGGTGACTGAAGTCACTGCAGCGCCCTGTTCCCGCAAGTCTGCCTGGTCCCAGAATGTCCTCTGTTGGAGTCTCCTAGACCATGGAAGAGTCCCAGTTTTCCCTCACTCACCTGAGATGGATGCACGGCTCCCTGCCCGTCCCGCTCTCAACTCGGTTCACCGATTCCCGTTCTCAGAGCTTCCGCATCTCTCTCTCCCTGCCGAGCCGATGCAGACGCAGCGGCGGCGGCGGGAAACCCAAATTGCAGCTTCCAATGGTGCGGGCTCCAGCTTCCACGCTGAGGCTTTATCTGTTCCTATTATAGCACCAGGATTGCATTCCCAGTTGGTTTCTCTCAGCCCAGATCGTTCTTGTGTCACTGGAGCATATCTCCTCTTGCTTATGATTCCCTACTCAGCACCATTCCTGAATTCTAAGCTGGGTGTTTCAGAGAGCCTCTGTAGCTGCTGCTATCTGTCCACCATGTTCTCCCGGAAGTCACAAGCACATTTTTAAAAGGGCAAGCTTCCCGGGGAGGCTGCTAGACTTGACGTGGAAGACCCCAAAGAAGAAAGATCTAAAGCTGATGGCCAGGGAGGACCACTGTCACTGAATACCCGTGGTCTCCAAGTTAGGAGCAGAGCAGCCTCTGGAAAAAGCAGGAAGACAAAAGGGGTGTATCTGCCTCGAATTCACATCTTGGCAGGCAGAGCCTGAGGATGTGACCCCAAGGGTCACCCCTACTCTACCTGAGAGCTGACAGTGCTTCCTGGGCGGACCAGAAGGGTCACATGTGAATCAGCATGCAGAGAGGAGATTCCAGGCTTCCAGGTAATGCCTGGCTCTCCGATGCCTCCTACCCAGCAGAGGTCTGGAGCAAACTATGAAAGGCAGTCTATGAGGACCTAGAAAAGAAAAACTGGGTTTGAAGTTAGCCCCAGTTCACCAAGACAAATAAAGGTAAGTGGCCTCTCTTCCTTTCTTACTAGCGTTCCTAGGCTAGTGTTAGGAGAACAATCCAACATAAATCATTTTTATCTCACCAGATTTTCCTCCGGTCTCATGGTCAGGCACGTGTTTCATAAAGTCTCATGAAATCTCTTTAGGGATTAATCAGAAATGTGTGCTAATGAGTGGAATGTGTTTGTAATGGGATAATAATCACATGAATAAAAATAATCGTTAAACCACTTGGATTGCATATAAAGGACATTTTTAAAACTTCAAATGATACAAACGACACAAGAAGTTAGCACTAAATAACTCAAAATGTACTAACAGTCAAATATGTATTGAGTGACAAATCAACCAAAACAAAAATGTGGTACACTAAGTATCTGGGCAACGGAACATAATTCAAACGTCAGTGAGGTACAGAAACGCGCTAGGACCTGGATGACCCTGAGGAAGAGGTCAAGCACAAATGGCCATATATTATATGAGTCTGTTTCTATAAAATATCCAGAATAGGCAAAGCCATAGATGCACAAAGTAAAGTAGCAGTTGCCTAGGGCTAGAGAAGAGAAAGGGAAGAAATAACTGACAGATAAGGGAAAAAAGGCTGCTTTCAGATGTAATGAAAATTTTCCAAAATTGACTGTGGCATTGGATCTACACTTCTGGGGATATAATTTTAAAAGCCACCTAATTATACCTTCAATGGATGAATTATGTGATATATGGCCTGCATTGCAGTAAAGCTGCTTGTTTATATACAGAAGTTAAGTGTCCTTTATCTGAAGTGCTTCAGACCAAAGTATTTTGGATTTGGGATGTTTTTCCAGGTTAGAAACACTTACAGTATACATAATGAGCTATCTTGGGAATAGGGCTCAAGTCTAAACATGAAATTTATTTATATGTCACATGCATTTATGCGCAGAACCTAAAGTCAATTTTACACCTAATATATTTAAGAAAGTGCTTAAGAAATTTATATATTTGAGAAATCTGTGCCTGAAACGAAGTTTCATAGTGTGGAACTTTCCAGTTTATAGTGTTTTGTTAGTGCATAAAAAGTTGCAGGTTTTTGAGCAGTCTGCACACTGGGTTTTAGAGTTGGAGAGGCTCAGCTTCTCGTGAGAAGTAGAATCTGCTGGGTGACCCTCGGGCATCAGGCTTTTTGCCGTACGTCACTTCCTCCTCAGAGCTGCTCCGGGAAGTCAGTAATATGTTCTCACGCTGCAAATGATGACACTGAACCCCAGGGAGCCCAGATAATTCATCCCGGACACCCAGGCAGTCAGCAGTCAAGACACCACATCTGCTTTATGAGACACCAAAGTCCAGGTCTGCCTGATTACACATGCCGGGCACAGAAAGAAAGGAAGAAAGTGAAAGGCTGCCAGCAGATGATAACTTTGAGGCCAGGATAAGTGGTTTGGATTTAATACGGAAGCTCATTAAAACGGCTGCGTCTCTTTTTTGATAGGAGGGATTATTTTTTAATTTTGAAAACCCTTGAGATCAATTAATAATTAACAAGGGAAATAAGTGAAGGGGAAAGCTATTATAAGGTACAGGGGAAGGGGGCTTCCTGATGGCCTTCAGCTGGGTCTCCTTGGGGAGCGCACATCAGCTTCGAGCCAGAAAAGCAGGGGCCACCCAGAGACCAAGACACCAACCACCATCCAAGCTTCCGCAAGGGAAAATCCGGAAGGAAGGCTCCACGGTCCACCTGCGTGAACACTGAGTGCCTCACAACCCCAGGATGTTTGCCATCTGCTCCCAGGGTTATAGGAAGTGACAGCGATGGATTCAACCGCTTATCAACTCTTCCCCAGAGCCGACCAAACAGCCCTGGTTCCCTTAGCTTCTATTTAAACACACGGTCTCACCAATGCTCATGGTCTTAGCACACAGAACTCAAAACGGCAAAGCCAGCAGTGACAGCATCCTCCAGGTCCCACCCAGGCTCTGGACGGTGATGTATTTGTCAGGCTGTGAACAGGTCCCTGATACCATCAAAAGCTGCAAGGACAACGCCTTTCAAGTCACATCAGGTATGCGATGCGTTTGGGAAAGAACTCTCTGTCGATACTCCTAAATACCAAATTAAAGAGCGCACGGCTCCAGGAACAGAACACCTGAGTGCCTTTTTGAATTTCTGCAGAATTATAGCCAACACAACGGAGCCCACAGCGACGGGAAACAGTTGGGAATTTTATTTAAAGCACTATTAATGAGAAAGGCTCCACAGTGAGATTTCCTAGCACTTATGAATATTTATTACCGTACATTCTTAAAATTAACCCGAAAAATTAGGTCCAGGACAAATAGGAAACAGATTTCTAAGAGTCGGTCATATGTTTACATTATGCAAATTATAGTTAAAGACCTGTAACCAGAACATTATTAAATGCCAGAAAGGGGGTGTGGGGGAGGGCAGCTGATATTTGGATATTTTCTTATAACGGGCAAAAATATTCCAAAGTTTCTGACAATCTGCGCGTTGAGGGCCTCCTATGGGCACATCTTCTACTTTTTCTAAGCTGGAAATAGAATCACACGCTCCAGGCAGTATCAGAACCCACGGTCGCCCATGAATTTGCAGCACGCAAGACTCTGCCACACTGACATAGGAACACGGACCCAATCTCAGCCTCCTTTGGCCCTGGAGCAACAAGGAGGCCTTGTTTAGAAGTCAAAGACTCCTGGACAGCTAGCTAAGCACTTGTGTGAGTCACAACACAAAAAGAGGCACAAGGGACAGTCTTGCAAGAAGTATAGCTTGCCCCAAAGACACTACCTTGAGTTTTGCAATACGGGTGCAGCAGAAAAGCTTCTGGCCGGAGACTCGGATGGACCCACAGGTGATGGGCAAAAGTGTGGCTGCACAGGAGGTGGGGAGCAGGAGCTAAAGCCTTGTAAGCCCATCCTGGGGTGCAGCTCAGTGGTAGAGCCATGGCCTGGCCAGCATCAGGCCCTCTGGACTCCAGCCTCAGCGCCACAAAAACAAAGTCTGGGAACTCCAAACTTTCACCAGGAGCCAATCACTGAAGGAGGGCTAACAGATGAAAACACCGCTAGGCCTTGCCAGGAAACCACTTCATACTCTCGTAAGAAAACTGTAAAACCCAGGGCAGCATAATAAAAGTGAAAAATTACTAAATAGGATTAAAGTTAAATTGTGAGCCAGATCGGGTCAACAACAAGGTGCTTCCCTTTGCCTCCCAGGTGCCGTGGGCTCAAGGGTGGACACCAGACCCTGGCTCCTCACCTCCCACCCTCTCCACAGCCCCAGAAGCAGAGGACAGAGCCTCTTCTGGAAGCCAAGGAGCCAGAGCTCATCCCAGTGGACTCGTTGTAAAGCACAGGGAGAATAAATGAACTACAGATTGCATAAACGTCACTGCCAGGAAAAAAAAGCCCACTCAACTTCCCAGGACCGCCTCCCCTCCAGATGCTAGCTGTGTGGCCTGGGGCAAGCTCCTTGACCTCTCAGAAGTGTCCTGTTCCCCTCTGCACCTGGAGGGTGAGAACAGTCCCTTCAACTCACAGGGCCATGGTGATAACACAGCCAGGGTCCCCTGCAGTGCACGCCCTCCCGTGGCTGCTCTTTCTAAAACAGGAAGGGCGAGGTGTCATGCACAGTGACACAGGCCTGTAATCCCCGCTACCCAGGAGGCTGAGGCAGAAGGATCCCAAGTTCAAGACCAACCTGGATAATGTAGCCAGATCATGTCTCAAAAGAAAAGAAAGGGGCTGGGGTAATGGTGTACCTGCCTAGAATGTGTGACATTTGATCTCCAGTACCACAGGCAAACACATAGAGACATACATGCACATTATCTGTGAAAGGCCACCAACCTGTCTTTGTGTCCCGGGGATTAACCAAAACTAGTATTTTGTGTTGAGGTTCATCTCGGTGAACAGTACACATGCAAACAGACGAAGTTTCAAGTTTAACCTGAAAAACATAATAAACAACCACTATGGTCTTTCATCATGCCAAGGGCACAGAAAATCACTGAACAATTAATTAGCACAGAATTCACTAAAAGAACACTCACAGAAGTTGGTTTAATAAGACAGAGACCCTACCCACTCTGAGCTAACCACAGAAGCAAATCAGCGAAGGTTGTCCGCCCAGTAAATCGTGTCCCACGGTCACCTGCCCATCTTCACAAGTTGATTAAACACCTCATCTGCTGGCAAATGCCCTAGGGCCCACTCCGTCCTGCAGATTTCCCAGAGCAGCGGGCTTCTCCATCCTAACCCTCCTTGGGCTTCAGTCTAAAACAGCAGAGGGCCACACACCTGCCTCCGCTCTGTACCTGTCAAGTGGGATTTAACTGTCCTTCTTAAGAGCTGCTGGCCATCCAGGGCGTCACCAGGCTGCCTGTTGCCCTAGCTCTGGTCCCTGCAATCATTCTCAAAAATGTACAGCTCTGAACCCCCTAGGCTCAGCCCCTCGCCTCATAGCCGCAGGTGAAAAAGCTCAACTCTGGCCCCCTGTTTACTTAGACTAGAGAGGCTCAGAGGTCTCTAACACTGGAACTCTCCCATCTTTCAAGCACCCTCATCCAAAGCCCTCTTTGTGGCCATCAAACCCTCTGATCTCACCCTCTAAAGCCAAAGGTCAGCACATCGCATTACAGAGTCTGTTTTGAAAATGGAGGAGAGGAGAGGAAATTAGGAAAGAATGTGTCACTTGAGCTAGGCAGGCAGGTTGCTTGTAAAAGTTTACAGCAGCCTCTACAGTTTCAGTGAACTATTTCCTAACAAATCCTGGGATCCATAAACATCTGGGTGCCTCCTCCCCTTCCAGAGGCCACTTTCATGAAGAGTCCTGCAGAGGTTATCCGCGGGATGGTCACTAGACAATGTCCACAGAGCATTCAACTAACTAGGGAAGATGCTTATTATAGATAGCATTGCATTCAGAGAGTGAGCTTCCCTTGAAAAGGTATGAGCAAAGTAAAAACTCAAATGCATTAAACCATTTGCAATGGTCAATCAGAGATGGTGGTAAATTCCGATAAAAAGGAAAAAAAAATTTTTTTTTTCTCTATCCTTAGTCCTGGCTCCAAAGCTTCACGCAATGCATGAGCACTGTTTTACGACCAGAAATATCGGCAAGTGTTATTGTGTCTGAAATGTAACAGGACGATGCCAAGACTGCAAAAAAGAGCTCATTAGGAAAAGACTTTGCACCAGAGTGATGTAACCTGATATACCCTCAAACCTCTTCCCCTTTCTATTTTGAAAAACTCTGCATACAAAAAGAAAAGTGAAACCTGCTAAAAGCTACAATGTCTACGGTAGAGGCACTTTGTTAAATGGCAGGAAATGCCTCCTGTCTCATAAGGAACCCCCAAAATAGTAGGAAACCAGTAATCATTTTCATGAAATCATTTTCTTTAGAAGAAGCCAATCAGCATTTCTAGTGAAGCAAAACAACTTAATTCAGTAACTGTTTTCTTTAATGTTTTGGTTAATGACAATAATTTTACTCGCTCACTGAGCATACTCCTGGTGTTTTTTTTAAAGTAGTCCCTAAATACACCTGCAGGCTGGGAATGTAGCTTACTGATACAGCACTCACCTAGCTTGACAAAAGGTTAGATACACAGTCAAAAAAATGGACCCATAGAAATGCGTGCAATAAAAGCATCTGAGCTGGGAATGATGGCACACGCCCATAATCCTAGCACCCAGGAGGCTGAGGCAGGAGTATCGCCGTAATGTCGAGGCCAGCCTGGGCTACCAAGTGAGTTCAAGGCCAGCCAGACCATGTAGTGAAACCTTGCCTCAAAAAAAGACCAAAAGAAAGAAAGAAAACAAAGCAAAGCAGATGGTTGCAACTGCATCTTAAAGAACTTCCGGATGAGCTATTGCATTTCACCGCCCTTCTGATGGACTCCAGCGCTTTCCTCTGTCCCCCCCTCACGGGCAGCCTGCATCCCCCTCGGCTCGCTAGGACCAAGCCCGGGTCTTGACGCAGTGCTTGCGCAATTCTGAAGCTGCTCCACTAGGGGGCGCCAAAGCGTGCGAGGACAGCGTCCGCCCTCCCCAACTTCAACCTGAGCCCCCCAGGAACCCCGACTCTCGGCCACCACGGAGGCCGCGGTCACCTCCGGACCCGCTGCCCCGCACCGTGCTGACAGGTCTCTGTCCTCCCAACCGGCGCTGCCCGCCAGGCAGCAGGCAGTTCTGGTCGGGGTGAGATCTGGCCCGGCTCACACAGGACATCTGTGTCCCCTTTTGAGCAGATGGACCCCAAATCTGAAAGGGGACGGAGCGGGGACGGCCCCAGAGTCACAGCTCTGGCTACTTCCTGTGGCCAGGGAGAAAGTCCTAGAAACAACACGACTGTGAAATGTTACCCGCAGTCCCACCAGCCCCCCAGGTGGACACTTTGTGTTTCTGTCTGTTCCGTTCTAGTCCCCACCCAAGATGCGCTACGTCAGCACCAAAAATCAGAATCCGAATCGCCACACCTGCACACTCGATCAGGCCTTCAAGACCAAAGAGGAAACAACGCCCTCACTGCACAAATGCAGGAGCCGAGACCTAGGCAGGATTGCACACAGCATCCCATTAGACACTCACAGAACCACTAGGAGGTAGGTAGGATTATTGTCCCAATGGTAGACAGAAGAATCCCAAGACCAGAGAGGGTAAGACCCTTGTTCAAGGTCACACAGCAAGCAAGCAGCGGACATAGGATTTCATGGGGGGCTCATTGTTTGGCACAACCAGACTCAAGTTCGGGATTCTGGGGTCCCAATCCGGGCTCCCACTTGCTCTTCAAGGTAGAATTATTTATTCACTCCAGAAGAGTTATGTTGCACTGTGTTCTAGATCTGGAGCGCTGGTCTGTGACATTCCACTGTTAGACCTGACAAGAACGCCACACCTACCTGCTCCCCCGTGGGGAGACAGAAGGTCTCTGCGGAGGGCCCAGTCCTGTCCCCCAGGGAAGTGTAGTAAGCCAGAGCCCGTGCTGCCTCCTGCTGGGCCTCCAGAGCATCTTCCACAGCGTCCACCGGGTAAGCAGTTGCTGCGGGGGGAGAAAGGCACAGAACGGTGTTAGTTGTACTCTTTCGCTAAAGGAAAAATCACCTTTTTTCTTTAGAAGGTTTTTAAAACACAGGACATTTGCTTTGACCATGGTTTCTTGTGGATGAGAAACCCAAACTGTAACCAAAGAGTAATGTAACAGATTGAAGACAGAAAGGAGCCTCCTCCAGGGGGAGGGGTCCGGAGGTGCAGGGACACAGGGAGAGAGGAGACCCGATGTCATCGTGGGCCTGTGCCAACTCCCCCAGGCCAGGGAATGCGCGTGTGTGGACCTGGACTGATGAGGAAAATGATCCCCAAACACGGGGGCTGAGGCGCTGCAGAAACACAGAGCAGTGGGGGTGCCTGAATTTGGGTGGTGGGTTTTCGGTGTGCACTGCAGGGTTTGCACTCAGCCTCTCTCTAAGCTTGATAAATGTGGATAACCAAAAACTGAAACATGAAACCATCCAATGGCATTTCTCTCCGTTCCGTCAGAGACTGTTTGGGAAACTGCTTTTCTCTCGTTCAAACTGCTGAATGACTTCTCAGATGCTTTCGGCAGCCGGCTCGGTGGGCTGGTACCTCGGAAGCTGAAAACAGCTAATCAGACTCGTGGAAACCATGGAAATCCAGACTGGGTTCTCCTTATCTGCCTGGCTTACATCTCAGTGCAGGTTCCTAAGACTTTGCCAATTCTGCTCCTCCCTGGGCGCCTCTTGCCACAGATTCAGTGTGGGCAGCAGCTTGAATGAATGAGGAAACCACACATCCGAACACAGATAAACTACCGAGAGCACTCGTTTGCAAAGAAATTAAGCAAAGTATTCTTAGACTGCTGTCCGCTGTCTCTTTCCAATTGTCATGATTTTAGGGGAAAATACTATCCTAGCACACAGACTGATAACATCCAGTTCCATCCCCTCCCCCTCCTCCTCCTCCTCTTCTTCTCCCCAAAAGATCAACCTGAATGAGAACACCTACTCTCAGCACCTTGCAGAATCTGCACCCTTTTCTTAGCTGGTCTGCATCCTGCAGCCACTTCGCCGGAAACAGAGACAGCGATCAGCAGCAAAAGTGTCAGAACGAATGTCTGCCCAGAATGGACTTCTCTGCAGCTGCTTAGTTAGAGAGAAAGTTCACAGAGAACGGAGGCTGGCAAGAGCCGCAGTGTCTGGACGGGGTCCTGTGTGAGCCGAAGCCCTGAGCCCTCAATTTCCAACGTGGAAATGTCCTGCACACAGTGGGAGGTACATCATACAGTGGAAATAGCCTCCAGATCTGCGGCTCTGCATCCGCGCATTTAACCAACCACGGGCAGGAAACCGGGAGAAAATCACATCGTACTGAACAAAGGCGGACCTTTGTCCTTACCAGTCTCTAACCAATGCTGGGCAATAAGTGCTTGCATAGCATTTACATCGTATCAGTCATTGTAAATCACCTGGAGGTTAGATGCCCTAGGTTGTGCCTAGGTGGTAAGCAAATGATCTACTTTATTTAAGGGGCTTGGACACCTGCTGATTTTGGCATGGGGAGACAAGACCACTGAATGAGATCCTCATGGATATTGAAGGACAACTTAAACATTGTTCTTCTATTCAACTTTTTAAAGATTGAATGTGTAATTCACACACACACACACACACACACACACACACACACACACACACGTTACAGATGTTTCAATAAAGACACAGAGAATCCAGAGTCCACTTCATGATGGTGAGTACTTCAACGATTAGCTTGGGAAGCTCTGTCTACAAAGGAGACGGAGACTTCATGTGGCCAAGAGATTCTGCAGAAGGCACACGTGTGTGTGCTCTGTGTGTGTGGCACATGTGTGCGCCTGTGTCCTCCCCATACATGAGCACACTCAGGGGAGCCCAGTGTCCACACCTGGCTGAGCCTCGAAGCCCCAGCACCAAGCAACCCCTCGGGGCCCTGGGCCGAGCTTGCAGACCCTCCCTACTCCTCGATGGGCCTTATGATTTTCCAGCTGAACCCATGGCAGCAATCCGGCTTCTTACTCAGGGACACTTCACAGCTACTTCAGAGACCAAACCCAAGCTGCATCACTCCTCATCGTGACATCCGTCCCTGACTTAGTTCGGGGTCTCAGCCCCCCCCCCACTCTACCCATTCCAAACAGAAGAACAGAAGCCAACATTCCTCGAGATCCAGTTGCTGCCAAACTGCTGAGAACCCCTGCCTTGCTTCACAGAATCCTGCTCCCCTCAGCTTACAAGGAGGAAACTGAGACCTCACAAGCAGGTGGCTGCACCAGGCGTGAACCCAGATCTCATTTCAGAATCTGTGTCAAGCCTTCCGGTCAGGTCAGAGAGCTGACCAACACCGTTTCCTCCACCACCTCACTCCCACACCCTCAAACCCAGCACCCAGAGGGTGCTGAACACCCTGCCGGGCTCCTTTGGCTTCTCCGGCCTCCAGCTTCACTGCAGGTGCAGCCAGCATCCTGGGAAGCCTTCTTTGAGCCCCAAAGAGAAAGGACTGGGACTCGAAGGATCACTGGTCCTGCGTCCAGGTCACAGCTCAGCCTGGCAGGAGACAAATGCCCCGCTCACACTGGGCTTTGCTTTTCATCATCATCGCCCCGACCCAGACACAAGGAGAGCTGCTGGGGCTTTCTGAGCGCCACACAGCTTCCGGTCTCACCAAGCCTGCAGGAAGACCCCTCTCTTTGCCTCTCCCATCCAAAGTCCTTCCTACTTAAGGCGGTTGCTCACTCAGGCCTTCCCAAGGAACTGCCATTCATTTCATCAAGTTGCTCAAGTGACTTTTCAAACACAGGCAAGAAGAGTGCGTGAAGCGCCCACTGGAAAATCAGAAAGAGGGCAATTCCACCTCAGGGCCCCTCAGGCAGTCTGAACCAGTTGCTATAGCTCCAGCTCACCAGCTCAAACAGGAAGTAGAGCTCCCACCTCGATTTTTACTCTGCTGCTGGCCCTTGAAGGGGGACCCTCAGTGCAGTTCACTGAGCTGTGTTAGCACCAGCCCGGTGACCTTGGCCCCGTGAGAATGTCCCTCCTGTGAGCAGGAGAGGGACGACACTGGTCATCAGGGAGAGATCACTCCTCCTTAATCCACCAGGCCAGAAGCCCGGCTCCCACCTGATTTCCCCAGGCTGCCAAGAGTTGCCTGGCACCTCTCTGGTTGCGTGTGGTCAGGAGAAACGCAGTGAATGTGTTTTACCCCTCGCATACCATGAAATATTTCCCCTGCAGGTTATGCACCAGGGCTGTTAGACTCCCTCAGAGAACTCTGTGATCAGTGTCCTGGAGACACCAGCTGTCCCAAAGGGACACAGAGGCAGGTGACCAGGTGTCTCAGGGGCTAAAGCTGCTGGAATGAGCAGACATATTTCAGCTGGGCTGTCCTGAGAGAGGGTGGCCAGCTGTCCTCCCCAGGGAAGAGGCCCTTACTGTATAAATGAAACAGGAGGACCTTAACACGCACAGGGAAACGTGGTCCCCACACTTGGCTCCTTTCCAAGCATGCAGCACCGGGTGTGGACACCCACACAGCCACCCTGGGGGAGCAAAGTCGGGGAGCAAAGCCGCCTGGAAAAGCCAGCAGAGTCCCAGGGAGCCCCGAAACCTGAAGCCCACAGCTCCCGGGTCATTTTTTGTTGGATTTGTTCTCTTCTGTCTGAGGAAAACTTCCCCAGCAGGAACCTCTCTCCCTTCCCTCCCACACAGAAAATACAGGGGGTGGTTAGCTTTCTGGAAAGTGGGGTGGGAGGGCAGGAGATGCTCACGGCAGAAGAGAAGGGGCATCGGAGGTCCAGCAGGAAGGCAGACCACCTCCCTAACCCGGGAAGGAGGCAGGGCAGCTCGGTCTCCATCCCAGAAGCACACAGGAATGCACACACAGGTTGGAGGCAGGGAGCCCCTCTGTACCCACTCAGCGCCCCCATGGTCACCACCCCAGGCTGCCGCGGTAAGTAAACAAGTCCGGGGTGTTTTCAGCAGGCCCTAGGCCCAGGATAGGCCAGGCTGAGTCGGCTGTGATGGAAGGCAGGCTCCGCACCGGCTTCCAGATGTGAAATGCTAACAGACTTTAATGGCTTCAACTGAGCAGGAAATATTTTCCTAGAGCCAAAAGAATGTAATCTTTTCAGTCCAATGTAAAATGTTTTTATTAAAACGGCGCACGGTTGAAATGATAATTCACTGCAGGCTCTAAAGAAACTGCAATTCCTCAACAAACCCCGAACTTAAGAATTCATTGTAAGCATACAGGGGCACAGTCACCCAAAGACAAAAATAAAGACCTAGCCCACAGAGTTCTTCTAGGGAAGGCATTTAAACCATTCACTATCTTTGCACCAAAGCACAAGTCCCAGGAGGATGTTAAAAGCAGCCGGGACCCACGGCCACTGCCAGCCCCACGCTGCCAACAGCCTGCACCACTGCTGGGTCGCCCACTGCTGCTGGCCACTGGGGCCGGGCCTAGAGCCCAGGCCTTTCCCAGGGTGTGCAGCTCTTCTGATACAACAATGGCCAACACTGAAGACCCCGAAGGGGGTCTCTGACCTGCACTCACTTGTCAATTCAGTGTCATTTGCAAAATATTCTCTCTAAACAGCGCCTTACCGCGAAGATTAGGAAAAGTCCTTCCTCTGAACAAACCATGATTTTTCTCAGGTGGGACTACTATTAGGAGAAACACTAAGGGAGATATTTTTAAGTGCACCAGCCCCACTCTTAAGAACTCAGCCTGTGCCAAAATCCCCTACCTGGCAGGAATTCCGGGGCATTATGTCATTGCAAAGGCTGGTTCTAGTCGCTCGAATTTCTTAGTAAAGCAGCTGACCGTTCTGTAGGTATGGTAAGAATAGCTCTCGCTCAGGATAAGGTGGGGAAGGATACAAAAGTATACAATCAGTCACCTTTTATTTTTTAGACGACATAGCTTGTACAGGAGCTCTTTTTATATTTTTGCTTTTCTGTGTTTTTCATGTAGGTGAGCTGGTTTTTG